AAATATTGAGAAAATGAAGTGAATTCTGGCTGAAATAAGTTAAATTGATTATTAAAATGGTCATAAAATAGTGAGAATTTAGAAAATATCTTTGTCAAAAAAATGGAATGAAATACTTATAAAGTAGTTAATGATTATTTAGTGAAAAAAATCACAGTAACTGGAACAAACTGTGAAATGTCGTAATACTGGAGAAACTAGTTTGGACACATTTTCTCCAGTCTTGCAGTGCCTTCTTTTTATTTCATTATAGTGTATACTTTTTATTTTTAACAAAACTATTGGAATATCTCATAAAGACTGATGAAAAAGTACAACTGGCTGCCAAAATAAAATAATAACCATGACAAAAGAGAGAAACTGGCAAACAAAATAAAAAGCCTAGTTACACACGATTTAATTAAGTCTTCTAGTTACAGTAATATGGATGGAAGACTTTTTACAGAAAACTTCTATTATTCAAAGCTACCAAAAATACATCAGGAGATTTATCATATATTTGAATGTTCATAATTTATTAGACAACAAACAAAACATTTCACTCACATTCGTAATATCTGCAAACAAAATTACTTACAATTTCCTTGTAAACATACAAGGATAGTTCGTGAAAGCAGGGTAATCAGCACAATCACAAAAAGGCAGACACTGAATACAAAAAGCAAGTAGTTATTGGCGGATGTGTATTTCTCTATGTGTAACCAATTTACGGATAACTTTGGAAGATTTTCCATTGACTCTTTCAGAGCTTTCAGGTGATCTGTAAGAATTAACAAAATATTTAAATTTGCTTTCCTCAACTATAAACATATTCCAATCAAAATCCTATTATGAAAAGAAAAAAAGAATATGGCCAAAGCAACATGTATGTTTACTAGTGTCTTTATTAGTGAAGATGAAAACATATTATCTGGATAATCTGCATAAAAGTAGAAAAGAGTTTTCCTTAAATTCTGTTTCTGTTTAAAATAAATTATTTAACATAATGTAACATTAAAGGATAACAAACCCTTATCATTCAAATATTCAACAAGTTTTCCCTTAAGCTCTTTTAAATTAACTGCAACTACTGCATCTGAAGGCAACCCTTTCCACAGACCACCACCCGGTTTTGGCTGAAGATAACTCCTGCCCTGTAAAACTATATATTTGTGTCCCATAATCTTACCATTCTCACCATTAAACATGAAAAAAGAAATTGAGCATATAAGAAAAGTTTAGTAAACTTCTTCATAGCAGAGCTATTTAGAGCGACTAAGAGAAACTCCTATTTTTAATGACAGGAACATAAAACCAACTACACGGACTAACTTTACTCACATGCACAGTGTACCAGTTGTGTAAAGAATGAGAAACTAATATCTACTCACTGGAATGAAAGAGAACAAAGCATTTGAACAAATTTGTCTAGCAGATATTAATAGAATCACCTATATGTATTGAGTACGGTGTAAAAAAAAATTACAATCCACTATAAGCACTAATTAAAACAGAGTGAGAACCATCAATATGGACTAATTTATAATTTGGTCTGGCAGGCAAAACATAAACTACTATTACCAATTATATGGATGGTGGAAAAAAAATACCTGTATCGACTGACTGGAGTGATTAAAGAAAATCACTCTCATTTCTGATTGGGTGGTAGAAAGCACCATGTATATGTGGTAAATATGTGTAGTGCAAACACTTAAAACACCACCAATTCAACCAATTAGACTTGAAGGGAAAATTATATTGATAGTGACATTAAACCTAAAGATATTAATTAAAAACCTGTTTTGATTCTAAGAAGTATGACTGAGATCTTAATTGTTTCAATCACAAAAGATCAGTACTTTTAATATATTAAGTTTTGATTATCAATAAACTTAAAAGTTTTAATGGCATCAAATGATAAAACTTGACTATTCGTGGGAGCACTTTGGAAGCATTAAATTCTAATTATAAACAATATCCGTTATTTTGGTGTTTCGTGCTTGAGCTATATGTGTTACTGTTAGTAAATTTATCTGTTGTTCATTGTCTGTGGAAAAAAAATGCATTTCATGGACAGGTAAAGATTTTCAGTGATCAATCACTGAAGAATGAGTCAGGTCAGGAACTTCAACTCTTTATAATTAGTATTATTTTAACTCAGTATTATTAACAAACTTATATTACGTATTTCCCTAAAATAAAATAGTCTACAGTATAAAACTTAGGCCTGGGCCGATTAGTGGTTACAAAGTTACACTTAACCTTCCTGATTGAATACAAATTACAATCCTTTGTAATCACACTCCAGCATGATCTTTGAGAAAACCACAAACAGCATATTTTCTACTTCTTGCACCAAGTTCTACATATTTCGTAATGATCTATACAATTATTAGGCCTAATAACACACCTTTTCATTATATTTCATTGTATAGACCCTAGGCTTATGGCAAGCTACACTTGTACTTACAAATAAATCCTACTATCATTGGTCTAACTTTCCTACTCTCATAACTGCTTACCAATTTATAATGTAAAGTAAATTAGACTCCTTGTGACTTACACTTTACATTCAATATGAATTCGAATGCAATTTTGATGTTTTAAAAATTACTTAACTAGTCCTCACTGAAAGTTAACAAGTTAAGCCTAAAATTGAAATTGAATATGTAACAAACTTAGGCATAAGCCTACCATATATTTTCAAGTGAAGATATAAAATAAAACTACTTTTTTCCATCTCTAAATCATTTGTTATTATATATTTGTAAATTATTTGGGTGAATTACTATCATTATTATTTTTTACGTATCTTTTTTCAGATAATTAATTCGTTAAAAAATTGCAACGTTACAATTCGAGAATTTGCGATGCTAAAAATAGAGAAGCAGACGACTTCGTAATAGTATTCCAATATAGAAATGGCGCTTTAGAAATTGTTGTATTTTATGTAATTTATTCAAAATTTATGGTCTAAAAGCACAATGTTTTTGGACATAGAATTATAGGAAATTTTCAAATGATATAACGGGAACGTTGTCCAACACCATGCCGCAACTAAATAAAATTTCACTGTCAATGAATTTGATTACGGAATATAAAGTGCTTTCATTCATACAAAAATAAATACAAATAAAAAAATGGCTGTTTTATCTGTGTTGTACCCCTCACAATGCTTGAACATTATCAGGAATTAGTTGCATTGTCAGAAATGTTTAATTAAAGTAAACAAAGCGAACATTTTAAACGTTTTGTTTGTTCGTTTATCTCTTTCAAAGTTATTTAAACAAGTCTTGCATAGACGAGATGTGAGCCATGAATCATTGGATTTACAATCTGTACACGCTAGCTACTAGGATGCGCCCACCCATTTTAAAAGGACTTGTAGTAAGATATTTAACGTTTCGAACAATTTATACTTAGCTGGTTAACTCTTTGTTTACATCATAATATTTTCGGAACTTATACAGTTCTGTTTTTAGTGTTGTTCATAGTGTTGTGTGAGCGAGGTCATGTGACTAATGTCACGCCACTTCTCTCGAACCTTCGGGA